TTATATTAGAGCCCCCTTATTTTATATCCCACCCTCCACTGATGTTTTCCACCCCCCCCCAATCATGTCCCACCCCCCCCCACCATCTTCCATCCCCCCCTTTATTTTACCCCCCTTTATTATTATTCCCACCCCCCACCATCACATTCCAGTGCCTGCTGTTGTCTCTGACCCTCCCATATTATCTCAGACCCCCCATATTATCCCTGCCCCCCCTTTCCTCTATCCCACTCCCACTGGTGTTTTCCAGCCCCTGTCTTACCCCACCCCCTCCTGCACCCCCTTCCTGATTTCACACCCCCTTATTATTCCCACTCCCCATTATTTTCCAATGCTCACTCTTTTATCTGACCCCCCCTTTATTATCCCTGACCTCTCTCTCTTGTATCCCACTCCCCACCAGTGTCTTGCACCCCCCTTTTAATTTGTTCCCTGTCCTGTCTGACGCCCCTCTCTCCTCTCTGACCCCTCATTTCCCACCCCCACCCATGTCTCCTCCCTCCCCATCCTCCTGCACCCCTTCCTCTGCTTCTGCACCCCCTGATTATTGTTATTATTATTATTATTGTTATTATTGCCCACCCCCCATCATATTCCAGTGCCACCCTATGATCTCTGACCCCCACTATTGTGTCTGACCCCACTCTCTTCTTTCCCAGCCCCCACTAGTGTTTTCCTCCCCTCCCCAGCATCTTGCACCCCCTCCTCTGGTTTCACACCCCCTTATCATTGTTTCCCACCCCCCACCATCACACTCCAGTGCCTGCTCTTATCTCTTATCTTATTTTATCTCTGACCCCCCCATATTATCTCTGACCCCCCCTTCTCTCCCACTCCCCCACCAGATCCCAGCCCTCACCTACACCTTGCACCCCCATGTTATTCCCCCTCTCTATCCCATATTCCTCCCCCCATCCCATATTCCCCCCTCTATCCTGTGTGTACCCCCATTCCACACCCCCCCATGATTTCCCCACCCCATTTTGGGCTCAGATCAGGAATTCCAGCTCTGTGGTTCCTCCCTGTTCCAGCTGGGGGACCCCCCCCATGTCCCCCCATCCTGCTGTGTCCCGCTGGTTCCTGAAGATTTCGGGATCTTCCCTGTTTGTTGTTTTGGATGGGTTTAATTTTGGGGGTTTTTTGGGGGGAGGGGAGCAGGTTTCCTCTGTCACCTGTGGGTCAAAAGTGAGCTGCCCCCTCTGACACCCCAAATTCCCAGGGGGTTTGGTGTGGGGTTCCAACCACAGAGGGTGGGAGCTGCCAGGGGCTTCCTGGGCTGTACCCGTGCCAGGGGGATTGGCTCTGGATGGGCCTGGCATGGTCCCTCTGTGTGGGGCAGTGTGGTGACCCCCGTGTCACCCCAGTGCCACCAGCGGGGACAAAAGGGGTCCGTGGCTGCCCAGCAGGGAAGGGGCTGCCCAAAATCTCTCCAGCTCGTGGTGGGCACGTGCCAGGACACAGAGGAGAGGGTGGGAAGTGTCACAGGGCAGGGGACACCAGTGGATGTCCCACCTGTGCTTTGGGAGTGGCACCCCCAGGGGACACGGCCCCATAGGCCACGGGGCCGGGACGTCACCACTGCCACATCCCTTGGGTGCCACGCTGGGGCTGGGGGTGGCTAGGGTGGCCTGGCCACCCTCTGTGGCCACCAAGGCCACCCACCATGGTCTGCAGTGCCCCACCCCAGTGTCCCTGGTCCTGCTGTGGTGACACGTGTGACAGTGGCACTGCAGGGGCTCGGCAGGGCCGGTGACACGGGTGGGAGCACAGTGACCGTGTGTGGCTGTTGGTGACCACGGAGCCTTGTGGTGGCACAATGGGGGTGCTGCCCACAAACCCTGTCCCTTTGTCCCTGTCCTCCTGTCCTTCTGTCCCACTGTCTATCCCCTTCCTGCCATCCATTCATCCCTCTTCTTCCTCCCTTTCTGCCCTTCCTCCCATCTTCCCTTCCCCTCTGTCCGTCCTTCCCTGTGTCCCTGCATCCTCCCTGGCCTTTCTTTCATCCCTCTCTCCCTCCTTTGTGTCTTTCCATCTGGCCATACTTCCTCCTGTCTGTCTGTCCTTCCCTCCATCCCTTGGTCCCTCCCTTCCTTCCCTCCTTCTGTCCAGCCTTCCCTTCTGTCCTTGGTTCCTTTCCTCATTCTGTCTGTCTTTCTGTCCCTGCATCCATTGTTCCTTCCTTCCATCCTTAGCTCCATTGATCCATCCATCATTCCTTCCATCCTTCCTTCTGCCCTTCCCTTTCCTCCTTCCTTACTTCCATCAACCCTTCCTCCCCCCTCCCATCCCTTTCCCCTTTCTGTCCATCCATCCATCCATCTTCTGTCCATCCCTCTCCTCCCCTGGTCTGTCATTCTGTCTCTCCTTCCATCCTTCCCTTCATCACTTTCCTACTTTCACCTGTCCTTCTGTCTGTCCTCTCCTACTTCCATCTCTCCCTTGGTCTCTTTCTCTCCATCTCTTCCCTACTTCCTTCTGTCCGTCTGTTCTTTGACCCTCCCTTCCCTCCTTTCTCTCCTTCCCTCCTTCCTTCATTTCCTTTTGTCTGTCCCTCCCTTCATCCCACTCCTCCTCCAGACCGTCCTTCTGTCCATCTCTACCTCCTCAGCTCCATCTCTCTTCCCTCTGTCCTGTCCATCCCTCCTTCTGTCCATCCTCCCACTCCCTACCTTCCAGGGTGTTTTCCCAGGAGGATGAACCATGGGGGGCCTCCTGCTGTTCTTCCTCCATCCCACCCTCCTCCTCCTCCTCCATCCTGGCCCTCACCTGGCCACGGGCTTTTGCGGGGTGCCCCTCTCCCCCCGGTAGCCCAGCCCCAGGGTGCTGCAGGGTGCCCCTCTCCCCCCTTTCCCCCCCAGCTCTAGCCTGACCCGCGCTTCCCCCGCCCCGGTCCCGCCATGGAGAACGAGCAGCTCCCGGCGCCGGCCCCTGCCAGCAGCTCCGGGGGCAGCGCCCCGGCCGCCGCCAGCACCGCGGCCACGCGCCCGCCCGGGCCCCAGATCTCCGTGTACAGCGGCATCCCCGACCGCCAGACCGTGCAGGTACGGCCGGGGGGGGCCCGCGGGTGGCCGGGAGGGTCCCGGGTGGCTCGTGGCGCTGCCCAGGGCCACGTTTGCCCCCCGCCACAGGTGATCCAGCAGGCGCTGCACCGGCAGCCCAACACGGCGGCGCAGTACCTGCAGCAGATGTACGCGGCGCAGCAGCAGCACCTCATGCTGCAGACGGCTGCCCTGCAGCAGCAGCACCTCACCAGCGCCCAGCTCCAGAGCCTGGCAGCCGTCCAGCAGGTAGGGCCGCCCCGGGGGCACCCCTGGGTGCTCAGGGTTGGCACGCCCCCCTCACCGTTTCGCTTCTCCCCAAGGCGAGCTTGGCGGCGAACCGGCAGAGCGGCTCCTCGGCGGGCAACGGCGCCCAGCCCGCCCCGGCACAGCAGCCCACGGTCAGTCCCCCGGCCCATGGGCACCTGGCACGGCGGCACCCACCTGTGCCAGCACCCTGACCTTGTCCTGACGCCCCATTCCAGATCAACCTGGCGACGTCGCCGGCGGCGGCACAGCTGCTGAACCGGGCGCAGAGCGTGGGCCCCGGCGCCTCGGGCATCGCGCAGCAGGCGGTGCTGCTGGGCAATGCCGCCTCGCCCGCCCTCACCGCCAGCCAGGCACAGATGTACCTGCGGGCACAGATGGTAAGGGGCACCCTGCGGCACTGGGGGGTGGGTGGGACGTGGAGGGCATCGTGGTGAGGGGCAACCAGGACCCACAGGGTGCCTGGCATCCTGCTGTCGCATGGTCAAGACCCATGGGGGGCCCGCTGTGGGGTGCCCAGAACCCATAGGGTCCCCGTGGTCCTTCAGCAGGGTGGCTGGGACCCCTAGGGTGCCTGTCATCCTGCTATAGGTGCCCAGGAGTTGTGGGGTGCCCATCATCCTGTCATGCAGTGCCCAGGACTCATGCGAGGCCCATCGTCCCATAGTGGGATGGCTGGGACCCATCAGGTGCCCATCATCCCATTGTAGAGTGTCTAGACCCATTAGGTGCCCATTGCCTCATTGTGGGGTGCCCAGGACCCATAGGGTCCCCATCATCCTGCTGTGGCTGCCCAGGATTTGTGGGGTGCCCATCATCCTGCTGTGGGTGCCCAGGACCCATGGAGTGCCTGTTGTCCCACTGTGGGGTACCCAGGACCCATAGGGTGGCCATGGTCCTGCAGCAAAGTGGCCAGGACCCATGGGATGCCCATCATGTAGGGTATCTGTCATCCCACTGTGGGGTGCCCAGGACCTGTGGAGTGCCCATCGTCCCACTGTGGGGTGGCTGGGACCCACCAGGTGCTCATCATTCTGCTATGGGGTGCTCAGGACTCATGGGGTGCCCATTGTCTCACTGTGGGGTGGCCGGGACTCGTAGGGTGCCCGTGGTCCTGCTGTGGGGTGGCCAGGACCTATGAGGGTGCCTATGGTCCTGCTGTGGGGTGCCTGGGACCCTATAATGGGTCCTGACCCTGTAGGGTGCTCATTGCTATGCATGGGGTACTCAGATCCCATAGGGTGCCCGTCACCCAGTGAAGGTTGCTGAATCCCACAGAGTGCCCAGACCCCATAGGATGGG